TGTATGTATTTCAAGATGTTTCTGCATCACAATAAATCCATTTTTAAATTCCATTTTCTGCCAGATTTTGGAAATACCCCATGAGAATGCTGTCCTCATGTAAGGACCAGAGGCTCAAAGACATGAGGTGGCCCGTCCAAACCACACAGTGATGGGCAGAACCAACACGCTCATTCCTCTGATACCTCAAGGACAAAAGCCCCCATCACTCTCTCTCTCTGCCTATGGGGATAGAAGCCAAATTCCTCACTGGTAGGCAAGGTGCCATGCTATCTTTCCACCTTATCTTCTGCTGGGCTCCAGCTCAACTCCTGTGTACCAGACTGGCATGTCTGTGCGCCTTCTCCCCCAACCCACAGGCTCACTCCCAGCTTCCACCCGTGTTCCCACGACCTAGCAGCCCTTGTTTTCTCCTTTTTGCCTGCTCAAGTCCTGTGCCGCTATAGAGCGGTTCAGTCTTCATCTCAAGCAAGAGCCTCCTCCATGAAACACTCCAGACTTTGCCAGCCTTGCTTCTCCCATGAGCCCAAGCACCTGGAGTCAGTCCCTGGAGTGCCTCTCGCGTACTCCAGGGTGAACTAACAGAAGGTCTCACAACTGCACGCTTAACACTCTTGACTCCCGTAGCATCACACTTCATATATTATGATCTAGCATCACACTTCATATATTATGATTGGAAGCAACGTATGCCATTTTCCCTTGACCCATTGTGCCACGACGTGGGGCGAACGGTATTTCATGAACAAAGTGCACAGTAAAAAGAACACATCTTTGATGCCTCCTGATACAGCTGCCTCTCCCAAAAGGCACTTCCAACACATGGAAGGGTATACACAGGAGTACACAAGGGACCTTCAGAGACTTCGTGGACAAATACATGCTGATACTACACATCTCCCTAGAACCTGCCTTAATGAAAACTACTTACAGACTTAAAAACATCATCTGCACCAGGATAAACCTGTCTTTTTAAAAATTCCATCTCCAGGAACTTTTTAAGCATCTTTACACATTCCTTACTCTTTCCAATATGAAACGATAACAATGACAACAGACATACTATGTGACAGATGGTATTGTGAGTACGTCACGAATATTTAACTAACTTAGTCTGCCTGACAACCCTTTTTTTTTCTTTCCTTTTTTTTTTTGACAGGTAGAGTTATAGACAGTGAGAGAGAGAGAGACAGAGAGAAAGGTCTTCCTTCTGTTAGTTCACTCCCCAAATGGCTGCCACAGCTGGCTCTGCGCCGATCCAAAGCCAGGAGCCAGGCGCTTCCTCCTGGTCTCTCATGCAGGCGCAGGGGCCCAAGAAATTGGGCCATCCTCTACTGCCCTCCCGGGCCACAGCAGAGAGCTAGACCTGAAGAGGAGCAACCGGGACTAGAACCAGCACCCATATGGGATGCCAGTGCCGCAGGCGGAGGATCAACTAAGTGAGCCACGGCGCCGCCCTCCCCCCACCCCAACACTTTGAGGTAGGTGTTATTATTCCCCCTCCTTTCAGAGAAAGATACTGAGTCACAGAGTGGTTAGGTAACTTGCCTGAGGTCACAGAGCTGGGATTCGAAGCTAAGCATTGAGTTAATGCTGTCTGACCAATAAAATCATGTACTTTTTCTTCTGATAGAAAAAGTAATGTCTAAGTATTTTTAAAAAATCAGGTAACAAACAAAGCAGATGGAGAGCACCATTCACAATCCAATCACTCAGTATTAATAACCTACTCAGGCAGATACAAGCACACACTAGTTTCTCAAAAATGGAACTGAATTGTACATCAGTACAATTCATCTTTTGTCTTTCAATTCAAAATCTTCCACAGCTTCATAAGGTATAAGCTATGTATCATAAAAATTAGTTTTAATCATACCAATAATTTTTGTAAATTTACAGAGTATTGTAAATATTACTACAATCCCATCTTAGACCCTCCCATTACTCCAAAGACCTCCTTAGTACCATTTGCACCCATGCAGTTCCTTCCCTCAGCCCCTGGCACCTGCTGACCTATTCTCTCCATATGGTCATGGATTTATCTGTACTGGATACTTAAAATAAAGAGGATCATAAAATAACTGGTCTTTGAATACAATTTCTTAGCATAATGTTTTTCAAGGTTCATCCATGCTATAACTTTACTTTAGTCTTTTCAATGGTTGAAAAAAACACTGATTAGATATACTACAGTTCATTCAGCAACTCATGGACATTTTGATTGTGAATGAAAAATGCTGCTATGAATTTTCTACACACACTTGATCTTAGCCAAAAGGCTGAGAAGCGATGCTATGAATTTTCTTTTTAAAATTTTCATGTACAAATCTTCATGAACATATATTTTCATTTCTCAGGTAAATACCTAGGAATAAAATTGCTGGGTCATATAGTAAGTTTTCCAAAGTGGCAATACAATTTTATATTCCCACCAGCACTATGCAATTCCAGTTAAAGTTCTCTAGTTCTAGTTTCTCTATATCCTTGCCAACATTTGTTGGCTATTTGGCTATATAGTCTACTTTTTTGATTACAGATATCCCAGTGGACAGGAAATCACACCTCACTGTGGTTTGACCAGCAGTTCATTCCCTAATTACTGATTTTGAGCATCTTTCCACATGGTTATTGGTCATTCAGATGTTATCTTTGATGAAAATTTTTGCCCAGTTTTTAACTAAGTAATTCATTTTTTATTATCAGATTCTAATAGTTATTTATGTATTCTGTGTTCAGGTCTTTTATCGAATGTGGGTGTCTTCAAAAAGTTCATGGAAAATTCACACAATGAAAACGTTATGCCTGTATTTCAATTCTTTTTGCACCAAAAGAACTATCTTACAATTCCATTTTCCATGAATTTCTTGATGTGCCCTGTGTTTAATTTCTAAATATGTTCTCACAGTCTGTAACTTTTCACTTTCTTAATGGTGTCTTTTAAAGCACAAGCACATTCTGAATTTTGATGCTGTTTCAATATTTTGCTTTTATCGTTTGTGCTTTTGGGGTCATATTTGAGAAGTTTTTACCAGGGCTGGTGCTGCAGCACAGCAAGTTAAGCTTTGGCCTGCAGCGCTGGCACATCCTATGTGGGTGCAAGTTGAGAGTCCCAGCTGCTCCGCTTCTGATCCAGCTCCGTGCTAATGCACCTGGGAAAGCAGCAGAGGATGGCCCAAGTCCTTGGGCCCCCGCATCCACAGAGGAGACCCAGATGAAGCTCCTGGGTTCGGGCTTTGCCCTGGCCCAGCGCTGGCTGTTGCAGCCATTTGAAGAGTGAACCAGCAGATGGAAGATCTCTGCCTCTCCCTAATTCTGCCTTCAAATAATTAAAAATAAAAAAAATTATACAAGACCTTTTTTTTTTTTTTTTTTGACAGGCAGAGTGGACAGTGAGAGAGAGACAGAGAGAAGGGTCTTACTTATTTTTCCGTTGGTTCACCCCCCAATGGCTGCTGTGGCCGGTGCACCGTGCTGATCTGAAGCCAGGAGCCAGGTGCTTCTCTTGGTCTCCCATGGGATGCAGGGCCCAAGGACTTGGGCCATCCTCCACTGCACTCCCTGGCCACAGCAGAGAGCTGGCCTGGAAGAGGGGCAACCGGGACAGAATCCAGCGCCCTGACCAGGACTAGAACCCGGTGTGCCATCGCCGCAGGCAGAGGATTAGCCTAGTGAGCCGCGGCACTGGCCCAAGACCTGTTTTAAAACTGCTTTTCCCCTCACTTATTGGTATTTCTTGGACATATTTCTAAGTCAATAAATGCAGATCTGCATCATTACGTTTATGGCTTTTTTTTTTTTTTAATGGAAGAAAGGAAACAACAGGGCATGCTACTCAAAATTCCCAGCATGATGCTGTGCATTCTTGGGTCCTTCCTCTGTCCCTTTTGGAACATCTGTCTGGTACCTCCTCTGTGGGTTGCAACCAAAAACTTTACAGACTATTAGCTTCATGACATTGGTCACACAGGTTCCTAGCACATTTTCCATTGGCTTAAAAATCCCTCCATCAGATTCCAGCAATGTGATGCTTATAAGGAACCCATATTTCCCTGTAATTTGGGATTTGACAGGTGCTTCTTCCTGCATCTCATCTACTGAATTCTCTAAAGCTACATTGGTCCTTAGAAATGACTGAACTCCAGTTTACATATTAATGTGCAAGTGTAGGAAAACAAATAGTGGGTAAAAGTAATTGGCACATGTTTTAAAGGAAGAGTTAAAGGAATGGGTTTTCCTGAATCAAGCTGTGATTTTATCCTTCAAGAGGTTCCAAAATGGGATGGAGGCTGCTTCCTGGCCACTGTTATGACCACTTTACTGGCTTTGTGGCCAGGGCAGGAGGCATTGAAGGGCAGAAACTTCTTTAGGAAATGGCCTGAGAGAAGGGCCTCAGAACTAGAGCGAGGAAGGTGGATTACAGGATTTGAGAGTACAGTGCCCAACGTGCCAGGCTGGTGGAAGAGATGGCTCCTGGACAGCCATTTTGATGAGAAGCCAAGTGGGTGACCATGCTCCTCTGAATAACTGGCACCCTAAGTGTAGGGTGCAGAAACTGGAAGGCAAGTACTAACACTAGCCCCAGGTGGATAACAGCCAATGCAAGGTTAGGGAAGTGGCACTAAGCAAATGGGCATGTTAGGCATCATCAACAGAGATTTCCCAAGCTGGTAGATCTCCGTAAAGATTGAGAAACCAAGAGTTGTTTTAAGACTCAGCCTCAGAGCTTCAACTTCTGTTTTTCAAATGGGAAGCAACCAGCCAATACAAGGGCCCCTGGAACATTCTGGAAGACTAACGGAGGGACCAGATGAAAGAACTAATGTGAAAGCCTGGCCTTAGGGGAACACGTGGATGTGTGGGGAAGAACTGTGAAGGGCAGGCTAAGGACGGATTTGCAGCGCGCAAGGACAGGAAGAGCCGGGCAGGGGCCTGGAGTCCAGGGTGGGAACCCCAGGGAAGGTTCTAAGATGACTAATTGGTTTTTAAAAGGCATAATTTACCTTCAGTGAAAACTGCACCCATCTTCAGTGTAGAGCGAGCTTCCAGAACCGAATAGGAAAGTTAGCTGGAGGTGGCACTCTTGAGAGCCAAGGAACCTGGAGGCAGGAATGAAAGGCCAGACCTTTAACATTCTGGGTGTACCTGTGCCCCCCATCCCCCCTGCTTTGGGGGGGGTCTCATTTGCTGATATAAAGGCAGAGCCATCTTTGCTCAGGGGTTCAACCTCATACCCAGTTGTAAGCGTTTTCCTACTTGGCCACCGCCAAGAATGTGCTTCACCGTGGGGGGCAGGGGGGAAGCGAGCTGGAGGACCCCCACGGGGTGGCCCACACCTCCTCCTTGCAGCTTGCTGCTCCAGGCCTGGGGAGCTGAGCTCTTGTAGTGCAGCAGCTGCGCGCTCAGACAGGCCGACCTTGGTACCCAGGGGAGCTGGGGGTGGGGTCACATCATCCCGGGGCCACGATGTACCTTTCCCTGCGTTTGCAGACCTTGCAGCAACAGCCTCAGTGCTTGCAGCTGCCAGCTTGCACAGAGGCTAGAGTTGGGGGGCAGTGGGCGTGGCGGCTCACCCTCTCCCGCCCAACCATCCCGGGAACGTTCTGAAATGTATCCAAAAGTTCGCCGGCCGCGCGCGCGCCAAAAGTAGAAAGGGCACAACCCCCCACCACTCCCGGCGTTGCGTGTCCCTACCTCGCCACTCGGGCTGCACCTCCGGCTGCGGCGCACACGCCTCCTCCGCCTCCTCCGCGGGAGCCTCGCCGTCGGTTGGGTGCTTCCTTTGCAGCCGTCCCCAGGCGGGAGAGCCGGCCGGAGAGTCTTGTGCTTCTTCCTGGGACACCATGCCCAACGACGACGCCTTCAGCAAGCCCTCAACGCCTTCGGAGGCTCCGCACGCCCCGGGGGCACCGCCGCAGGGCAAGGCTGGAGGCTTCGGCAAGGCTGCCGGAGCGCTGCTTGGGGCGGCCGGCGGGTCGGGCGCCGGGGGCAGCGGCGGCGGCTCCGGGGCGACTGGCGTGGGCGCCGCGAACAAGAAGTCCCCACGGCTGCCCAAGTGTGCGCGCTGCAGGAATCACGGCTACGCGTCGCCGCTCAAGGGCCACAAGCGCTTCTGCATGTGGCGGGACTGCCAGTGCAAGAAGTGCAACCTGATTGCCGAGAGACAGCGCGTGATGGCCGCGCAGGTGAGTGCTGGCGGCCGGGAACCGGGGTTCAGCCCCGAGCTTTTCGGAGAAAGTCCTCCGGCGTGGCCAGTGCCACGAGGCTCCGGGTTCGGGAGGGACGCGAGTGGCGCGCTCGGGGTTCAGGGCGCTTGGCTGCGCACCGACGCCGGATGCGGACGGCCGGGGACGCGTCTCTGTTCTGCCGGCGTAGACGCAGTCGCGGGGTTCACTCCGCTCGGGAGCCCCTGGGATCCCCGGTCTCGCCCTGCAGCAGAGTTGCGGGTATTCATCTGCCGCAGGGGGCCCCACGAACTCCCAACACCACGGTAGAAGCGGAGACTTGCAGGGTTCGCTCCGCTCGGGGGGGAGGGGTGTCGCGATCTCTTAAACCGCCCCCCAGTGAAGACGGGGATTGCGCCTTGCTGTAGGGTTCCCAGGATATGCGACCCCTCCCAGCGGATTCGCAGGGTTCACCTAGCTGGTGGTGAAAGGTGGGGGCTCACCATCTATGAACCCCACCTTTGAGCTCGGTTGTGGGGTTCCCTGAAATTTTTAACTCTGCCCCCTTAGGGTTGCGGGGTTCACTTTACTCGACGGTACCAGGCATCCCTGACTCCCCCGCTCCGAACAGTCTGGGATTCCAAATGCCGCCGGCTAACAGAGCTTCGGGGTTTGCAGCTGAAGGAGGGGACCCCCCCTCCCCCCCGTCTCCGACCCGGTTCTCCGAGCGAGCGGAAGGTTGCGAAGTTCGCCCCCCGCCCCCTCCGGTGCTCGTGGGGCTCCCCTGCGGCGCCGCTCGTCTGCGCTGCGCTCTAAACGAAGGCGGGTCCTGGGGGGAGGGGTCGCCCACGCGGGGGCCTCCGTTAGGCCGGCGGGGGGTAGGGCGAGAGGCTGCGCGCGCCGCGGCTCTCGGGGTCGGGCGTCGGAAGCCTGTCTGCTCTGGCACAGTCCGCGGCGTGGACGCCGGCGCAGCGTGGTCGGCGGTGCGCTGCGGCGGCCTTTCGTATTCGCCGCCGGAGGACGCAGGCTTGGCGTCACAGCCATTTTGAGCACGCTGGAAATGTTATTAACGTTTAAAAATGTTTGGCCTCCCCCCACCTCTGGTTGTTCCAGTGCAGGTTGCTTTGCGTGTATTTTAAAACTTAGAATTTCAGAGAGAGCGGCGCGCGGCGGAAGTGCGCGCATACAGAGTTTTGTCGGCTGTTCGTACTTTTTTTTTTTTTAAACACCTCAGCGACGGGAGTTCACGTCCTTGGCGTTCGAAAAGGGTTTCTCAAAGACAATAAAACATTCATTCCACCTACACATGGTTTCATGTTTTTAACCCAAGTTATTTGAAGTGAAAAGACACGGGAGAAACGCTTGCTAACGGTGTGCTGCGTTTGCTAAGGAACGCGTAGGTATCTTCCGTTGTGAAGGACTTCAACGTAAGAACGGCGAACGCTTAGTGTGTACGCCGGCGTTTAGAAATGAGCCTAAAATTCTGTGTTGGCCGCAGGTATTGCGAGTGTAAGTTAAGAAAATGGTGGTTTTTCCTTAGTTGACGCCTGGGTTTTCATTTTAATGTAGAGTGGGGGGCGGGGAGAATACACCGACTTTATGAAGTGTTCAAATGGTTGGGCAACAACTTGAAAAAATTACGGACTAGCAGGTAGAAAAAAATGGTCTCAGCATTTAGTTGTGGGCTTAAATATTTAGTGTGGAGAGTAGACTTGGAGGGAATTTCCCTCAAAATGTAATATTAGTTATTTAAGTAGGGGCATTAATGTAGAGTAGCCTCTGTCAATAGGGTAATTTTAAGGACGTTGTATGTTAAATCAAAAGCAACTCCAGGTTACTCGTGCAGTGTGAAACTTCAGTATTTTCCGTTCCAGAACGCTTGTACTGTGCTAGATGAATCCTTAAAAACTCATAAAATGGTTGCTGTTTGGTCAACCTGAACTAATTTGAAATTGTAAAAAAAAAAAAAAAAATTGAGATTGATCTTGGGCAGGAATGTGTGATTCTAAAACAACTGCATTTTTAATCAATTGCTTCCCCCTTCCCAAATTAAATAACATTTCCTAAGAAACCTGGAGAGAAAATCTTACAAAGGTGTCCTTAGTTCATGGAATAAACTATATGTTCTGAGTTTCTATAAAACAAGGCATAAGTATGCATTAATATACTAAAGAGATTTGCAGGGCTTTTTCAAAATTTGTTTCTGCCAAAGCCATTGATAGGATAAATCTGTTGACCAATTTAAAATCCAAGATTTAAGTTTAATTTAGTCTTAATTGATTTTTTGGAAGTTCATTTTTCTAAACTGAAGACTCTGGTGATGAGTAAAAGTTACTTCCAAATTAATTGGTTGTCTAAGTTTGGGCTGCCATTGTCCTTAAACAATATGGAAACATGGTTCTGTTTCTGATTCTCCCTTTTCGGCTTGTATCTGGGGCTCTGAGGTTCAGGTGCATCACTTTCTCATGTCATCATCAATAGTCAGTTTCAACAAAAAGCCTCTTTTTGTTACATGGAGTAATAAGCAAGGCCGCAATTTATTTTCTTAAAAGTTTTTGCAAGCTTTAACAATGTTATTTAAGAGAAGATAAGGAGAAGAGGGACCAGGCAGAGTGTCTTAGGCTGGGTCAGGCTGCTCACCTGGCTCCCTTCCCTCCTGCCTGGAGCGCTGTTGCCTGCTGCTCCCGTTCTGTGGCCCCAGCGCCCACCCCCGCCCCCACCCCATCCCCTTCTGGGAAAAGGGACTCCACTCTGCGGGTTCCTCAGCAGCCCTTGCTTTTCCAGCACACCTTGTTCCAGAGTCTTCCAGTGTGTACTGCCCTTTCAGCTTTGCTGTCCCAAGTCCTACTCATGCAGTTCTTCAAGGCTGGTTTCCAATGCCGTGTCAGGCTGATTCCTGCGTTTTAAAGATGGTTCCTGTCCCTGAATGTCTTCTGTAGGATTGGTGTATAGCTAGCCTTGGCCTTTAGCACATGTTGGCTTGCAGTTGCATGCTTGCTTGTCTCCTGTTGTCCTAACTTAAACAGTGAATGACTTGGCATCTAATCTCAACTCTGGTCTGCGTTCATAGCATATGATGGCATTTTACACGTCTGTGGACCGCAGCTGAGAGGGAGCCCATTCTCCTTGCTTCCTAGTCTGAGTGCCTCTGACTTCTCCTGGTTGATCCCAGTGTGACTGACTTCAGTGTTTCCTGGTCTCTCCACCTCCCACACTGTTATGTCCTGAGGATCCACACACATTTCTTTAATATGAGCACCTGCTGTGGGCCAGACCCCTGGGCCCTCAGCCATTTCTCAGCTTTGGCTACACTAGAGGACTTCAGACCTCACTATCTGGGACCTGGTGAATTGGGTCCCAGCGTGAGTGGGGACTTGAGTGGGCTTTGGCAGAGCTGCACAGGTGATTCTTGCCTGCTGAGGGGTGACGCATTGTCCTGCACTTCCAGGTGGCCCTGAGAAGGCAGCAGGCCCAGGAGGAGGAGCTGGGCATCAGCCACCCGATCCCGCTGCCCAGTGCTGCCGAGCTGCTTGTGAAGAGAGAGAACAGCGGCAGCAACCCGTGCCTCATGACGGAGAGCAGCAGCTCCTCGCAGCCTCCGCCGGCCAGCACCTCCAGCACTGCAGCCTCAGGTACGGGCCGGGGAGGAGGCGTGGGGCTCACTGGAGGACACTGGAGGGAGCAGGGTTGCAGCAGCGCAGCCTCGGGACACCCCACCACCACCACCCCCCAGCCTGGAAGAACATTGAGAGCTTGGGAGTGTCCTCCGGGTCCTACCTCTGATGCTCTGCTTTGCTTTGCTCCTGGCTCCCCCACCCTTGTCAGAATCCCTGTGTGTCAGAGAGCACTGAGGTGGTTCACGTATCTTGGTCTACCTGGCTCTGCCCTGGCCGCCTGAGTGGAGGCTGAAGGTCCTCGTAACCTAGAATCCAAAGTCAGTTTTGTTTTTTTGTTTGTTTGTTTTTTCAAGGATTTATTTTATTTGGAAGGCAGAGTTACAGAGAGACAGAGATCTTTGATCTGCTGGTTCACTAAGCCGGGAGCCAGGACTCCCCAAGTGGCTGCAATGGCCGAAGCCAGGAGCCAGGAACTTCCTCCGGGTATCCCACATGGGTGCAGGGGCCCAAGGACTTGGGCCATTCTCTGTGACTTTCCCAGGCGCATTAGCAGGAAGCTGAAAGGGAAGTGGAGCAGCCGAGACTCCAACTGGTGCCCATATAAGATGCCGTTGCTGCAGGTGGAGGCCTAACCTGTGATGTCACAGCTGTGGCCCCTGAAGTCCGGTTCTCTAGCAGGGAGGACGTGCCTGGAGAAGGTGTCTGAACAGGGCAAATCCTAGGTGTTGACAGGCGTAACCTCTGAGCAGTGACCCGGGAAGGCCCACCACACTGGCTCGAATTCACTGCATCTGCCGACCACTCGCTGTTCCTAGGGCTGTGTGTGCCCTCATTCATCTTGCACCATTCTCAGAGAGGCTCCCTAAGTGAGGAGGAGGTCTCAGCCCCCAACATCAGTGACGACTGCGGTGAGGAAGTTGTGGGAGAGGCCACGCTGAGTGAGCTAGAGAGTACCTGAATCCAAAGCTCAATGAGTGGGTCTTCACGTGATCCCCACAGCCACCCTCGAGGGCTGCCAGTGACCCTTATGGGATCTCCTAGTGACATGCAGTTGTTTAAGTCACATTGACTGCAGTGGAATGAAATAGCAGCCTTTCATTGCTCTTTGGCACCAGGCACACATCAAGTGCTCAGTAGCCATTTACAGCTGAGGGTCGCCATACTGGATAGTGCATTCTCATCTCGGTGTTTGAAGGCACTGGTGTAAAATACAGGAACTCTTAAGAATTCTGCCAAAGGTCTGCGCAGTCCTGTTGTTTCTGTCAATTAAAGACAGTAGTCCCAGCTTCCCCTGGGGGAATGTGTGCCAAGACCCCCGTGAATGCTTGAAACCATGGATGGTACTGAACCCTTGATGTCCACACACAGCTGATGATGGTTTGGTTGCTCATTTAGGCATAGTAAGAGATTAACAGCAGTAACTAATAGTAAAATAGAAAAGTGCAATATATGTGTAATAAAAGTTATTTTAAACTTATGAATGGTTTATTTCTGGAATTTTCCATGTAGTATTTATGTACTACTGTTGACTGAGCACAGCTGACTATAACCATGGGTAACTGAAATGGTGGTAAGTGAAGCCGTGGGTAAGGTGGGCACCACTGTCTACATGTTGAGAGTCATAGGAGGTCTTGAGAGCCTGCTCAGGCTCGGTGAAACCCAGCCTTGCCGAAGGCACCCCTAGCTGAGCTTTCATGAGTTGCTGAGTTGTATGTCACTAAGCCTCTGTACAGCACCCAACAAGGCACTAAAGCTCCTTGGATCTTTTGTTCCCTCTTGTCAAACGTGAGAGGGCTCTTGTGAGCCTTGGCCATTCCAAAGAAAAACAAGGTAAGCAGATGCCAAAGTTCCCAGGTAGGTGTGTGTGCATGGCTGTCTCTGCATGTTGAGCTGTGGGTTTTGTCGTTTACAAAGAGTTAGGTATTCTTCTTGTTTGTTTTTGAATTGGTTGTTCATAGTGTATGTTCCTGTTATGGTTTCCAGACTTTGCTTTTTGTAGTAAGAAAAGAATATTTCAGAAGGTGTTTTGCAGGCTTCCAGACAAAATGATTATGGGATCACAAGCCATCTGGTGGGTTTAGCTGTCAGCCTGAGACGAGAATGGGGGCTGGTCTCATGAGTAAAGGGGGTTTTCAGTGCTAGACTTTGCATAGTGGAAGGCTCCTGCCGTTCTCCCTCAGCACAGGAGTCTGCAGCCGCCAGTCTTGAGGGGCGGACATTCATGATCAGCATCAATGCTGGGCGTTTTGTAGGTCAGCAGAGCTGGACTCTGCGTGTCGTCTGATGTCCTGCAGTCCACATCACGGGGAGGGACATGGTGTGATTGTACATTCTCTATGATGCCAGACGTGCAGAGAGGGATCTCAGGTGGCAAAGAGGTACTTGCTGGGTAGTTGAGCATTGGTAAAAGGGAGAGAGTCACACAAAGAAGTTGCAGGGGAGTGAGGTGGAGGGTTCAGGGTCAAGGAGGATGGAGCCAGATTCCCTTTCCGTGCCTCTGGAGCTGATAGACTGTAGAGTCACTCTGGAATCTTGAACAAAAAAGGAAGAGGAATGTGGAAGCCAGGAGTGTGTTATGCTAGTGTGCTTGGCTACAGGTGGAGTAGCATTGCCCCGGAGGACTTGCCTTCTGAAGGGAGATGGCCCTTGCTGGCCAGCTCACCTGTGTGGGGTGGGAGCCACAGATTGTCAACGTTCACAGGGTGCCCGGCTGACCCCCAGAGTTGGGATGTGAGCCGGAAGAGCTAACTGTGTAGAGGGGGTGGGGAGAGTGGGGGAGAACAGAGTCCTGACGCTTGTGTGGAGCAAATGGAGCCTAACTTAGATGGCTACAACTAACACTTCCATAACTTATACTTTACAGAGTTTGTATTTATTTAAAATAACATTGAGTTTATGCAGGTCCTTGGCAGATGTTTATAACAGAGTGCACAGTGGTGTTAATGAAAGATAACTGTTCTTCCAATCCCAACCTGCAGTTCTTTTTGTCACTCCAGGATTGCTGACTGTATGTAGAGACTGACCTATTTATCCTTTTCATGTATAGCTAGACATGTGTGTGAATATATGTATGTATGATTATGTATTTCACATGAAAGGACTGTGTTGTTCTGCTTGTGTGTAATTAGCATTCTTTTCACTGTTACAGCTTGGAACTTTCAGTGGCCTAGAATTCCATCCTGTACAGGTGCAAGGCGGGATTTTAAATTATTTAGAGACCAAAGTTGTAGTTGTCATGGAATAATAAAACCCAGCAATCTGGCTTACCTGGGAGCAAGTTGCTAGCCTTTCTACTGCTTGATGTCTGTTTGTTTCAAGGCCAGCAACTCGGTGAGATTTAGGAGGTTTTTATGTCCTTGAAGCTTCTTAGTTATCTCCTTCTGTCTCCTGAAAGTGCCAAAAGTCAGAGTAAGAAGTGTTCAGGAAGTACTGCTGAGATTCTGGCTGAATTCTAAGCATACTGTGAAAGAGCTTGGCCTCACCGAACTGTGGCTGTGCTGCTGGTGAACTCACCCCTTTGAGTAGAATACTGTGTTAGAGGAAAGCTTGCAGGGACCCCAGGTATGGTGCAGGGAGGTAAGCCACCACCTGTAACCCCAGCCTCCCATATTGGAGTGCCGGCCTGAGTCCTGGGTTCAAGTCCCATCAGCTCCCTGCTAATGTGCTGGGAAAGTAGCAGCGGAGGATGGCCCAAATGCTTGGGCCACTGCCTCTCATGTGGAGACCCAGATGGAGTTCCTGGCTTGTGATTTCATCCTGGGGTCAGCCCTGGTGGCCACTTGGGGAGTGAATGAGTAGAAGACCTTTTTCCATCTCTCTATGTCCTTCTTTCTCTCTCCCTCCTTTCAAATAAATATAATAAAATATATTTAAATAAAGTCTACAGTTGTTAGCCAGTTGTTGGCTAAGATTGATTTGAAGATTAACTAGGTAGTCCTTGAACAGAGGGTATAAAAGAGTCCTTTTGATTTTATCTTTGACCGTGGAAGGAAATAGCCTTTAAAAAAAAAAAAGATTTATTTATTTAATTTGAAAGTCAGAGTTATACAGAGAAGGAGAGGCAGAGAGAGAGAGAGGTCTTCCATCCACTGGTTCACTCCCCAGTTGGCCATAACAGCTAGAGCTGCACTGAGCCAGGAGCCAGGAGCTTCTTCTGGGTCTCCTACACGGGTGCAGGGGCCCAAGGACTTGGGTCATCTCCCACTGCTTTCCCAGGCCATACCAGAGAGCTGGATCAGAGGTGGAGAATCCGAGACTCGAACTGGTGCCCGCCCATATGGGATGCTGGCACCACAGGTGGCAGGTTTACCTGCTATACTGTAGTGCTGGCCCCAAATAGCCTTTTTTTAAAATCAGGTTTCTATTGTTAAGGTATTACCTTATTTGCAAGCCACATTTAATAGAAACAACCACATTTTTCAGTCTTGTCTGATGGAATGGCCACATGTGTGGCTTTATGTTAGCCCCAATCTACCATCTCACATAGGCCATGTCTTCAGAGATGAGATTTTTTTTTTCTCCAAAGATACCTTTTATTTACTGAGTACAAATTTCATAAATACAACTTTAGGAATATAGTGCTTCTTCTCACTGGCACTCTCACCCCACCTCCTCCTTCTCCCATTCCCAGTCTCGTTGTCCATTAAGAAAAAAAAAAAAAAAAAAAGCCTGTTCCTCGACAGTCAAGACAAGTGCTGTTCAAGTCATTGCTTCTCAAAGTGTCAATTTCACTTCTATAGATTACCTTTTAGGTACTCCATTAGTTATCACAGATCATGGAAAACATATTTCACTAAGTATAATGTTTTCCACATTCATCCATTTTGTTGCAAATCACTGGATTACATTTTTTTTACCACTGTGTAGTATTCCATAGAGTACATATCCCATAATTTCTTTATCCAGTCTTCAGTTGATGGGCAAATATTTAGTTTGAGTCCCGCTTTTCCTATCCTGCTAACAGGATCATATGTTGCAGGCATATTGTTAGCTAGCAAAGAGTCTCTTCCCGTCTG